CCTGAACCCTGAGCCCTGAACCCCAAATGACGAGGTTAGGATGTGGTCAAAGGCTCAAGGGAGTGGAGGCCTGAACATGACTGCGAAGGCCCTGCTCCATCACCCATGTTACCTGCTACTTGGAGGATCATGGGACTTAGTAATCAGGGTTATAGGGTTTAGGGTTTAGGGTTGTAAGTAGGGTAATTATCGTTATCATCATTTATAACTCCCTTTAAGGTACTTATAACCTTACTTACTAAGTCCCATGATCCTCCAAGTAGTTTCCTGGGGTTTACGGTCTGGGGGGTTTCTTGAAGCGGTAGAGAGATGTGCCGGAGACTTTAGGGTTTTGGGTTTAGGGTCTAGTTTGTAGGGCTTAGAACTTAGGGACGGGTTTACATGGAGTCTGCGCCTCTTTGACAACCACATTGTCGTCACCACTCTCTATGACCTGCCAGGTTAGTTGGGGGTGCAACGGGCTCGTGACTTGGAACTCGGATGACGGGTCAATCCGGACACCAATTCCCGGATCGTTAAAGATAAGCGAAAAGTACCCTAAACCCTGAACCCTAAACCCTGAACCCCAAGCCACCCTAAACCCTAAACCCGGGACCCTAAACACTAAACCCTAAACCCTAAGCCCTGAAGCCTAACCTCAACTTGGGATCCTTCTTGAGGGCGGCCCCATCCCCTTGCGAGAACTCAATACTGTGCGTTCACTGACATTCCAGGAGGACGGGGTCTTTGTCTGCAGGGCCTCAAGTAATATGGGGGCCGTAATAATTAGAATAGGGTTTGGAGGCATATTATACCATAGTTCTAGTCAGGATCTCCCCAAAATAGTACTGGTTGGTAATTATTTTAAGCCCCTACATTAGTGAGCACTGGGAGGAGGGCTTGCTGCCTACAGTAAGGCATTTCGCACTTGCGATTGACCGACTTGCTCCTGCTCCAAAGGCACCTGTTTGACAAGCCTTTGCATCCATTTAGGATTTGAAAGCTATCCTCCGTGAAGCCAGTGGTGGTCCCTCAACAGCCGGATCACAAGCTTCCTGAACTCCCAGACACCAGACTATATCAACCTTAAACCCTAAACCGTCCAACACGATTTAGGGTGTCGGCTTTTTTGGGGGGTTCGACTTCTTCATGGAACCCATGTTTTTTTCCCTCGGTTCTTCGACTGCCATGCCTACCTTACGGTTGAGTGCAGAGTAGTCACTGGATGCTCTTGCCCAAGACAAGTTAAGCTTCGAGTTATGGTATTGCATGCATAATGATAATGTGTGTATATTAAAAAAATGCAGACACGCAAAAACGCTCAAGGTTGCCTACCCATTCAGTAAACCAAACAACGATACAACAAACATCGTAGACGCCTCCACAACCCTACGCAGATCCTAGGGGCCGAGGGGTTTTTAAGAGTTTAGGGGTTCAAGGGTTTGTTGGGTTCAGAGGTCTGGGGTTTAAGGGCCTGCGGGCTAAGGAGGTAGTAGGTGGCTTAAGGGTGTCAGCAGCGCAAGTCTTAGAACTTTCGAAACTTTCCAAAACAATATCCAGCGACAATGCTTCTTAGGGCACTTGGCCCCCCACACTGTCACTGAGGAGAACATTCTGCGATGCGATGATGCTAACTCCATCCTGCGCGGTAGTGGTCGCTTCCGTCTGGGAGCTGGTTATAGTTTCTACTTAGACTCGGTGATGCTCGACATACGTACACAAAAAGCCTAACAAGAAACCCCTAAACCCTAAACTGCCCTGTGCAGAGACTTTTCGTTGCAGAGTCTTCGAGGTTTCAGACAGGTGAGCTGGTGATCTACTCCCTGGTTCTCGAATGGGGACGGGTTTAGGGTTTCGGGTTTCGGGTCATTCGGTTGATGATATAAATCCTGCATCACCCCACAATAAGGAAGATACCAAAATTCCGATAGCTTAGGGTCCTTAAGCCAATGCAGGATTTATATCATCAACAACCCTAAACCCTAAACCAGAAACCCCAAAATGATAGGGACTACTATCAGGGACCTTAAGGGATTATCAGAGGGATCCATTCCTCCATTCTCGATTAAGGTTTAGGGTTTAGGGTCGAGAGCTAGAGAGTATCGGGGCCTTCGTAACTAGAGGCTGTCAGAATCTGCGAGTTTCAATGGGCTGCCATGACAAAATTCCTTGTAAGCACGAAAACTTAAACCCCAAACACCTAAACCCCTGAAGCGTCCAACACTTGAACCAGACCTTGCAAAGAGCTCGAGAAGGTTACCCAAGGCTTCAGGGTTTAAGGGTTTAGGGACCAGGGGGTTCAGCGCTATAGGTCCTTCGGGCGCGTGATAATGTAACTAAACCCTAAACTATCTGATAGTGATGTTTTTGAGAAGCCTTTCCGGGGGATAGACTATACGATTCGCAAGGATTGCCCAGTTAGTAACGACAAGATGCCGAAACCCTCATCCCCCATGAATCCCAAACCCTAAACCCTGAACCCTCGACCGCTTTAGGGTGTAGAGTTTAGGGTTTAGAGTTTAAACCTAAACCCTAAACCCTAAACCCTAAACCCTAAACCCTAAACCCTATACCCTTCGCCCTGAACCCTCCCAGAATTGCGGTCCGTGTTGTGGGCTCCCTCATCCCCATGAAGAGAAACGCGAAGGCCTCTTCGTCTCTGCTTCATGAAGTAGGGTCTGGGGTTTACGGTTTAGGGTTTAGGGTTTAGGGTTTTAGGGTTTAGGGGTTTAGGGTTTCGGGCTCGGACCCTGGAGATAGATTCGGGATTTTAGCTCTGGTTCTTCTGGCCAAAAGGTTTTGAAACACTGGATCTTGATCTTAGGTCTGAGGCTCAAGATCCAGGGCGCACCCATGGTCCTAAATTTATGCCGAGGACTTGGGCTTCAGGGTTTTAGAGGGTTTTAGGGTTTAGGGGTTTAGGGTTTAGGGGTTAGGATTTAGGGTTTACTGCTTCTGCCAGAATGTGTTGAGCTCCTGACACCCCAAACAAGCTTCGGGAAACCCCCGACTAGATTGGGGACCTAAAAGGGGACCCTAATTTAGAGAACTACCCTTGTGACGATATTTTCGTCCCTGTTAGAGGGTGGGGGGTGGGCTTCCCCGGACGAAAACGAAGGCGATAATGAGGCTTGTGTAAGGGCCTTAATAATTGGAATAGGGTTTGGGGTATATGATACTCTATTTATAATAAGGAACCCCCGACCAAAAAAACCCTAAACCCTAAACCCTAACCCTAAACCCGTATAGGTCATTACTAAGGCCCCTATATTGAGCATGGAAGCTGCCTGGGGCTTTCAGTTTGGGGTTTAGGATTCCTTCTGGACTTGGGGTCAGTTGCTCCTTCTTCTGCACTGGTTCAGGGTAGGCCTCGTAGCCTGCGAATCAGGATTTAGGACCTATAGGGTTTATGCTTATTTTCGGGGCCTTATTTTTTAGAATAGGGGTTTTGGGTTTTTATTTAGTATAATTATAATAAAAACCCAAAAAAACAACCAAGATATGCCATTTCTGAGGCCCCTATATTATGCTAACAGCCATCACAACCACAGGAACTTACATGCTTCCAGGGTCGGTGGTGGCCCAAGACCAGATACTACTTCAGGGTCCACCCGAACCCCGAACTCAACCCTAAACCATAACCCTAAACCCTAAACCCTCAACCCTAAACCGTAAAGCCCTCAACCCTAAACAACAACCCTAAACCCTGAAGCCCTCAACCCTAGACCCTAAAGCCCTCAACCCTAAACCG